ATAAAACTATAATATTAAAAATGAAAATGTTCATAAAAACTTGTTTTAATTTCGAACAAAATAATAGGGAAATATTGCATAGCATGCCCTAGACAATCTATCTAAAATTAACAACATATTCCTTCGTCCACTGCCTCTAAATTAATTTTGCGACAACAAGAAAGATTTCCGAGGATAATGCACGGAGAATCCCAGCACTCTGCTATTCAGCAACCCTGTCACCGGCTTCCCGAAGTGACCCCGAGGAGTCCCGACGATTGCGCTCAGGATGGCACTCGTATAGTCGCAACGGCCGCTATTGGGGTAATCGGGCTCCCCGGACAGGCGAAGAGGGAGAGAAAGACGCTCGGTCTTTCCCCGGGTGGTGAACGTGTAACGGGGTTTATCGTCGCGAGGTATGGGAGCTATTTTACGGACGACGCCACGGTAAAATTTTCAGCGCTGAAGTGGCGGGGTGTGCGGAGATTCACTGGGAAGTGAGTTATTTGGGGTTGATTAGGAGGATAATCGGTCTCATCGTATCTTTCCTGCATTGAATTGTAGTTAGTGATTATACATTTGATTTATTTACATTTAATGGCGGTTTAATGCACAATAATTTAACGTATTGTTGATTAATTATGAGTATACCCTTGTTTCCTTATGCGTCAAGTAATTATTAGAGTAATTTTTATAATTACGAGTAAATAGTGTTTTCGCAATCTCTTTTTTACTTTCGATAAATGATTTGCAAATAAAAATTTGTTCGTTCCTTGACAGACCGATGGAGTTTTTACACGAAAAGAGTCGCGTAACAACCGGAAACGTGCTAATATATTCATTATTCAAATTCTCTGTGACGATGTATGATACATACTGGCCTGGTCAATACAGGTCGCGCACGCCACCCTCCACCTCCCTTGCCGAAGCACGCCACTATCTCAATAACAAAGGGCCTCTGCAATCAAGCAGCCTATTCCAAAATGAAAGTTATAGTGATGGAAAAAAGGTAATCGCATCGTGTGAAAGTTGTACATTATTCCGTCATTTTTTATCTGATTCCCGCCATACTAATTTTTCCAAGTACGTACAACTTATTTGTAATCGTCGCGTTTCGATTTCAGTCGTCCCATTAAATAACAGTTCAATATTGAAATTAACGTAGCAAAAGAAAGGTACAACTTGACTACAGATTTTACTCATTTCTATTACAAAAACTCATTTTGTAAGAGATGAATCTCGGATTCGCTGGTATTGCTATGAAGTAGAATCAGTGAATCCTAAACAGATACTCGCTATATATCTCCAGTATACTTCTATAATTCAAATAAAACGAAACACCTCTCACATATTTTCCAAGAATTTTCTAAAATTACACACATAGAACATCCACAAAACCAATCAAACATTTTACCACCAAAATCTGAAAGCATTCAGAAACTAAAGTTACAACAGAAGCGTCAAACCCATGAACAATTCAAACAACCCTCAAACCCAATAATACCTCCAACAAAATCGATAGACACTAAGTTCCAAAGATCCTAATCCTCAATCTCAAACCTCAGACAACACATTACGTAAGATCTTCGCGATCCAAATCAGTCATGTTGATCGTTATCGTCCAGAATCGGAATCCCAGAAACCGAATCTCTCCCTTGAACCCTGCCCCCGCTGTCGCGGCAATAAATCCCGAACCCCATGAGCCCTGAAATCGACTCCCAGCCGAAGGATGATCCCGCGCATCCGGGCCCGCGGAGCGAAGGTACGCGCGACGTGTGCCGCGAGAAGCAAAACGAAAGCGAGAATTGCGCTACGAGGGGCAGGAGGGGGATGACGGAACGAGGAAGAGGGGTGCAACCCCCTCTGAGCGCACTTCAATCCCCGATCGTGCACGCGGCGGACACTCGAGAGCGATCGCGCGTTAAATGCGCCGCCGGCCGTACGCGGTCGCGTGGCGCGCGCGTGTCCTTCCTCTCTCTCGAATTCAGGGGGTTCCCCGTTCGAAAGGTTGCCCGAGAGGTGAACATGGCGGCCACAGCGCAAGGACGGCCTGGCTACGTGTGACGTGGTTCAATGGAAGTTAAGGTGTGAAAATATCGATGTTCTTCTTGTTTTATGTAGGCACGCCTGTGCTCTTCGCGATGAGTCCAACTCCAGTTAGAATATTTTGTTGACTTGATAATTTGCTGACTGTTGGGCATTTTTGAAATGATTGGAAATCTTTTGTATAGATAGATGCATTGAGGAGTGACTTTCTAAGTAGTGCAGAATAAATTCTATGAGTGCAACTTTACATTGGAATACTTGATGCGATTAGTATAGCAACATTTGTTTTTAAAGGGTCAATTTTGAATAGATACAACTTTCATAGTTCGACCGTTACGTCGTTTGGGTGACAGCTTTTTGTATAGATTTGAAGATTCATTTTCTGGGCGATGTATCGAGTAAAAGAAAGTTTATTCTATCTGTGATATTGCGAAGGCTGCAAAGAAGCTATTGTTAAATTTAAATGTAGAGTGTTTGTAAAGACGCTTCTATTATATAAGTTGCAGTAAGTAAAGTAATGTTAATTGTAATGATATTAAAATGACTCTGAAAATACTTATTCTGTGTAATAAACTGTACAGTATTAATTATAATGAACCATATAATTAACTATTATAATAAACTAGCAAGTATTTAATATCTAATATTTAATGTTTAATATTCAATAATAGTACTTTTATTTGCAAAAGGGGCAGTATAGATTTCTAATCACCGGGTCGCTTTATTACCCTAGTTCGCCTCTGTCCGAACGCGTGTGCGCGCAACACAGCTCGGTCACGAGGACCGGAACGACACGGTTCCGATTCTAA